CGCAAAAAATGAAAAAAATTCTTTATTAAACGTCTAGCAAATCCATTAAGTCATCAAAATATAGCCTCACGATCCCGCTAACTAGCAACAACAAGAATGTTAATAAGGAAAATGTCTCCCGTAATCTCCACGAAGTATAACCGGAATAAGTATCACTGCCGCAAATCGCTAAACCCTTCTACTAATTCCTTACCGCTGCCTTTCATACAAGGCATACTTTCTTGAAGTTTCAAAAGATAAATTTCAGTTTGGAAAGTGTTGTGGGACACTGCACTATAATGTAGCACTTACTCCATGTCGTTGAAAACAAGTTTACTTAGCAACACTGCACGATTTACTAATGCGTAGACGGGTGAAACGTATTAAAAACACAGCGCAATATAGTCAAATGAAAAGGAAAGCCGTAAACATTAGTGTAGAATGAGGAGTGCGCCTGCCGGTTGGCCACGCGAACAACAAATATATCGCAATATATTCGTTTGTTAATTCGCCGAAATGGAAACATTCAAAGATATTGAAACTTAACAGTATTTTTCAACACCATTTATATGCCCAATCCAAAAAATAGTACAGTTTTACTATAAAACAACTATATGCACGCTACAGTTTTAGAAATAACTGTCGAAGATTAGTCCTTATTATTTCTATCCCAGGCAATATCCACTGAGCTTAAATACATCTAGACGCTGTATAAAGTAACTTTTCATAAAAAACCCCGGTGAAAGTTCAGGTAATAAAAGCACCATCTTATAAAAATGATTACACATGATATTTAAAATAAATCACTTCCAACAAATAATAGTTAAAATCTGATTTCCCACCAAAAAAGATGGAAACAAAGAACCCCCACAGCTTACAATGTACTATTCCTAGCTTGTTTACAGTGCAGGACAAGATATGTGTGACTGCTGTCCGCTTGCAATGTTTACACCACTCGCATTATTTTTGCGAAAAACAAAAGTACGCTTGCATTTTAGTGAAAACAAAAGTGCGCGCGCTCCACCGCACTCCTATATTTTTGCTATTCCAAAGCAGATCTCACACAGTATGAGAAAACCGCTATTGAAGAAAGAAAAAATCTACAGATAAATTTCCTGCAAACCGGTCTGCGTCTATACAGAATCAATACACGTGTTGTCACATAAAACAATTATCAGAAAGTCAAAAAAAGTAATCAAGTCCACAACCTCATTTCCAAGATTACAGATCCCAGCAGCAACTTTGGAGATCAAATAATCAACGAAACGCTCTTTCAACACTTCAGACTGATGTCTGATATCATCCTTATCTTTACCACAAGCCAAGCAAACAAGAGCTACATATGAACGCTCGTCGTTCATCTTGCTTCTTACAGCTAAAACACGTGTCCAACATTACATATCTAATTATTAGTGGCAGGGACGAACAATTTCTGTTAACAATGCATTCTGTGAGAAGTGCACAGAAAAAACTGCGCAAAAACTAACTTTCAAGCTGATTAGTTTCCATTCTCATACGCTGATTGATCCGAATAACTGGCAAACCGCCACTCATAGTCTCAAACTGAATTAACGAATGTTTAACCATTTCGGTATTCCCGCTTACCTAAATGAAGAATAACTTGAAAGACTCGAGACAAAAGTTGAACAACGCCCACTACACTCCGGCTAATAAAAGTAGTTCAAAACAAACAATTAAAAGAACTACATCACCATACCCTGTGCATTTGAATCGTAGCTTCATGGGCCTTCAGAGCGACGATACCTTGAAAGACAACAGGATATTTCTGAAAGAATATTTAATTCAAACTGTAAAAAAAGTAATTTTCGAGTCTTCTGAAATACTAAAAGTGAAAGCAAAAAAGACTTACAAAACTACAATGTCTATGCTTCCTCTATATCACAGTTTAACCATACTTCCTCACACGCCAATGGTTAAAAAAAAAGAAAAAACTGCATAGAAAGACAGGAAGAGAATGAGATCTGAGGAGTGAGGTAGAAAGAATGAATGTTGAGGTAGGATGGGAAAGCAGTGAGGCAGAGCAATCACAAAAAAATTTAGTGGCCATTAAACAGCCATGAAAGCCCCAATAAGGTGAATAATGCAGACAATAATCCGGTAGATTTGACTATGTACAGACAAGAATAAGGAATACAAAGTAATTATGATGAATGCGAAATCATAATGGGAGCCGGCGTATTTATCTTCAACAACAACTCAGCTGCACTCTTCGATGATGCCGATAACGAATCAGCATCAACAGCCATCTCATCAGAAGTAGTACTGGAACTGCTCGCTTGCGAATATTTTTTTTCATTAGTGCTAGATTCTAACAGATTTATTCTCTCCTCTCCAACACTTGACGAAAGCGAAGTGGAATTCTGATTTGATATTTTCCCCTCACTCTCACTTTCGCCCGATGACAAATCATTCTTCTGACTCGCAATGTCGCTTCCACGTTCTTCATCTGACTCCAACTCTTGCGCAATTATTGATATCATACGTGCCTCTAATTGCTGACGACATATTGGGATTTGCCGAACGCGATCAGGTATTACAGAACCCAAATTTGAAGAAGTCGATGACCGCAGATCCGCTTGGTTCGAATCGGAACTACTTTTTGAGACCTCATGGTCTTGACCATTTACTATCACTGTGCTCGATGAGCTGTCGGGTTGTTGTAACTGCTGAATATGACCATTAGCCGTCAGCCCAAGTGCTGCTGCTGTCTGTTGCTGTTGCTGTAGCAGCAGGCTGCAAAAGTCAAAAACAGATGAGGTTTGCGGTCCAGAGACCATATTTACACTTGCAGCAGTTGTGACGGCTGGGGCAGCAACCGGCAGACCACTGATTCCATTGCTACTTACAGGCTGTTGCGTTAAATGCATGTTTTGTAGCAAAGCGTTTATAACTGGAGTTAGCAACGGATTTTGCTGTGATGATACCAACGGATTCGGTGCTGGAAAAGTATGTGTTTGCTGCTGCGCAGCTGCAGCGGACGAATGATTTAAAATATTCAGAGACGAATGAGCTTTTTCTGGTACAGAGAAAATATTCGGTTGGAGATTAAGAGGAGATGGTTGTATAATTTGCTGCAGAGAGTTGAGTTGTTGCATACGAGCGAGAACGTCAGAATTAGGATTAATGAGATTACTAAGTAGACACTGTTGATACATGCGATGAAGTAATAGCAATGACTCAATGTTCGGAGTCGCACTAGCGCTAAATTTCCTACTAGTAACATCTTTCAGCTGTTGGCCCAAACCTTCGTTATGCGGGATCGACGAAGAAGGGAATACTTCATGGCTAACTTGTTCGCTGATCAGCCGACGAATTTTCTTATTAGAAGGCGCACTGGAATCCAGCTCCGGCGTCGTTACATCCACAGGAACTCCAGCATTAAACGAGCATCTCGCAGCGTTAGCCGCATCCATCGGCATTGTATACCTCCTCTGTGAAGGTATACCAGAATCAAAAGAATTATCAGAACTACTTTGTGCCAAAATTGCATTCATTAGATTTGGACTAGCAGCAATACTAGCGAGGAGGCTTGCAGAAGTATTAGAATTCGTAACAGCTGATGATGATTGCTGATTTTTGCCCGGCTCATACATCCTGAGTATCACAATACTAGCTATAAAAATAAAAGAACAGAAAAAGAAGAGGCCTAAAAATAACTAGTGCAGACGAGTTTTTTGTTCCTTCAATGAAAAATAGAAATCAGTGAGAAACCGCTAAATTTAATGGTGAGACACGGCTAAATAAATACAGACGAATCTTGCAGGAATAGTTAGTCGGCCGTAAAGAGCACTCTGAAGAACCAACGCGTTGGCAGCGTCTCGTCAGAGAGCAATACTCGTACTACTACTCACAGCAAACGTACACAACAACATATACGCCAAGGCTGTTTAACCGCTGTTACATATATATATATTTATATGAACGGGCATTGGCAGAAACACAGATGTTTAGAGAAAAAAAGAAAAAACAAAAATATAGCTTTGACTGGAAAGATTATAAGCAAATAGGTGAACATGAGAAAGAAAAGAGAGAATTTAATAATGCAATCAGCTACAGCTGGTCTCCGATAACCAGTGAGTCTACAGAAGAGTCAGCAACAAAACAAATCGTCACAGACGACAATACAGTACACAAACAAAAATAGTGACGTAAGAATGCGAGAGAGGCATTAAGGCAAAATATAAAGATCGCTGCAGCAGAGAAGAAGAGGAAATTTATTGAGTTATGGCGTATTTTTGCATTTTGCCCGAAATGCAAATTGAGCAGGAAGCAAACAAATTTTTCAGACTCTAAACCGAAAATCTTTGCATTTTCAAAATTCAGGGTTTCGGCCTCACGGGGCCCCAAAAGGGGTTAGAGAGAAATAAATGCGCGTAGGAAAACATTATATACAAAGATCTGTTTTTGCAAAATTTGCAAACCACTATTAATGCAAGTGACCTCTGCAGAAATAATTCAATTTAAGTATCAAGCAATGATGAATATCTATTCCAGACACTCACCAAAACTTTCCTCTGAACTCTTAAATTATTCAGATATTTGACCACAGCAGATTTTGGGGTTTCATCTAGCAAAAAAAACTGTTTATAAATGGGTAACTTGTAAGTAATAAAGCCCCACATAGCACACATTAATTTCTTTTTCCTTCTCCTTCCATTTAAGCACCGTTCTTTAAACTACAACGAATTATGAAATGGGACACGATGGAAAAATTGCCAGCACAAATACCACAAACCCATTCTTTCCCTTTTGTAATGGCGACTAGAAAGCGCCTCTGGGTTCTGCTTTTTTCCTTTTTTTTTTTCAGATTAATTCCGAAGGGATGAGAGGTAAAGCTATCAAAAATAAGTAACTATTAAATATAATGCAACTTATTATTGTTTTTCCGCAGAGCAAGCCTAAACTGATTCAAATGGAAAGTGTAAACCGAAAAAATACCACTGCTTCAACGGACACACTAAAGCCTACCATTTGAGATGAAGAAGCATGAACATGGTGCTGTGTAACTTTTGTTGAAGGCTTCCTAGAAGGGTTCGAATCCTGCCGAGGTTGTTGTACATCCATCAGCTGTGATGTCCCTCTCTGGTGAACTTCTGGAGGCTGCTGAACCTCTCTGGTAATTTGCAAATCCCGCTGTTGTTGCCTTTGAGAGGAATTATTTTGGAAGGTTTGCTGCCTGTTCTAAAATACAAAAACTTCTTTTGATAGCTGCCTAATAAGAACTTTCGAAGAATCCTTTTTATTAAAAAATATTACTTGTTCGATTTGTCTCATCTGCTGTTGTAAATAATCGAGAGGTAAACTACTACTAGAATAAAAAGCATTTAGCTGATGTTGGGCAACTGCGGCTATGTTCTGAGCCTGTTGCTGGGAAACCATTGGCGTCTGAAACAAAACTTATGGAGCGCAACTAAAACTTCTTAAAACCCTTGCATAGCGCACAAAAAAAACGAGCAGAAAATTTAACGCGTCTAGTCAAATCAAATGAAATTAAATGACGGTTTTCAACAAAAGCATTTAACTACCGCTTGAGTTTGATGTTGTTCTTGCCCAAGCCTTTGAGAAGGCTGCATTGCTGACGTCCCGCCACTTAATGAAGCGGCAGATGGGTATGTAGCATGTGATGGAGTACCGTACGAGCTACCCGTCATTCCAGAATATGCTGCTAAAATTATACGATAAAAATAAAAGCCTTGTTAGAAAGCTTTAGAAATTTCAGAAAAGCACCTTGCATCATTTGCGCATGGTAGAACTGCAGATACTGCTCATTTGAGAAAAGCTGGTTGGTGGTAGTTGTTGGGAGACCCATACCAAAAACTGAAGATAGCGTCGTAGCAGCATTCATAGCTTGCTGAGCTAAGGCCGGAGATGGCTGCTGGCGTGTCGCAAAGGAAGGAAGAGCTGATAAAGGTTGTTCAGGTGTGTTTGTAAGTTTGGTTGCTAGCTGTGAAGACTGCAACTGATTTGACAAAGCAGAGCCGCTTGCTGCTTGCGAATGTAGAGTGCGCATCATTTCCCCGCTACGAGCATTAACATTTGCTGCTTGCCCAGCATGGGTTTGGTGGCATACCGGCACCTAGTAAACGAAATTTACATGATTTGGTTTTAATAACTTCAAAAATAAAGAACTTGAAATCGTAAAGGTAGTTAGTTAAAAGGTGTTACTGTTTGCTGTTTCGACTGTTGTTGTTGTGGTTGCGACTGTTGTTGTTGCTGTTTTTTTGGTGTGTGAAGATACATTTCACGAGTAGGAAGAGCAGAGGACGGTGTTTGTAACTGAGACTCTGTACGGCCTGAAGTGGTCGATGACGAGTTACTAGTGAAACTTGGTGTTTGTGCAGCCCCTGTTTGGTGAGGTGCAAGCTGCATCTCCTGTTGAGTAGCATGCGCTACATCCTGTCGCTGAGCAACATTCATTATAGCTAAAAAGTTATTATAGTTCATATTTGGATGTGCAATTTGCTGCTGCAGAAACTGAGCTCGCTGTTCCACAGTAGATGGCAGTGGTTTCTGGCCTTTTACGGTGGGGTGTGTCTGCTGATGGTTCAGAATTGGCTGATGAGTCGTGTTACGATCTGGTACACCATGATTCGAAACTTGGCGAGAGAACTGATCGCGAGAACCAGTCGAAGTAGCAGATCTGTCAGGTCCCGCTTCTAACTCGACTCCTTTTAAGTCCTTAAAAACATTACCATTAAAGAGCAATAGTGCCCAATGTGGGACGCGAAAGTAAACGAAACTCATACTTGTCTAACAACAACTTCTTGTGAAGAACGTTGCTGTGGCGAGAATGAAATATTGGTCTGACCCCCTTGACTCGGTATTTGAGGAAACTGTACACATGGCTGAGTTTGCGTCAAGAATGGCGAACTTTGCTGCTGAAGCTTCACATTTGACTGTGTTTGAATCGGCTGCTGTTGAACAACTTGTTGTACTTGTGGCTGTTGTTGAGCTATGGCCTGCTGATTCATGTGTATCTGTTGCTGCTGCAACTGGCCATCTTGAGGCATCTGGATCTGTTGCAGTTGGAAGTGTAGATCCTGCTGTTGTGAAGGTATTTGCGGATGCTGTAACGAAACAAGAGACTGTTGAGGTATTTGGGTTGTTTGTTGCAACCTCGACTGCGACATCTGTTGAGCCTCTGATGGCTGATAGATTGGAATTTGTTGCTGCGTTGCTACAGCCTGATGAGGTTGCTGAGGCGGTTGTAAACGGTGTTGCGGCAGTGGTTGTTCCGACAAATGCTGCTTTTGCATAACTGTTTGCTGCTGAACAATAGGAGTTTCAGGTTCCGTAATCAAAGTAACGGTAGGAGGGAACCGTGGGCAAAGCGAAACGGATGCTGATATTGAGTCCATAGAGAACGACTGTTGTGATGTGCTAGCAGGATAAGACATATCGCACGTTGGATGGCTATCTGCGGAAGGAACTTCTTGTGTAGCTTGTTCCTCTTCAGCTTTTTTAGTATTTAACTGCATCAAACGTTCAGCATCAACCTCAACATAACCACCGGAAACGACATCGTCAATGACCTGAAAGTTTGTACAAATCAATCTGATCTTTTGTAGCAAAAATCGAACAAGTTTTTGGAAAATTTCCTACAAAACCAAATACCTCGTCAATATGTGCTGAAGATGCACCTTCTGGACCAGTTTTTGAGTCTGTAACATTCTTTTCCAACCGGATGTCATTCGATTTAGTATCCTGTAAGAAACAGTAAAAATTAATATTTTGTACAAAATATTACAAAATATTTATTTAAAATGAAGAGTTAGTTACTTCAGCATTTTCTTTGTCCGCCACGCTGAATGAGCTGGTTGCATCCACAGTATAGTACTTCGACAGTTCTTCAGAATCATTTGCAGTAACCGCAGTATCAGTGACGCTGCTATGTCTCGAAGTGGTGTCACTCATATAATTTTCATCCATCGGATTTATCCTTTCATCAACGCCATGTTGACTGCTATCATCTTCAGGAAATGCGATTGACAGAACAGCATCTTCCGTTTCCTAAAGAAAATGAAAAGGGTCTAAAGGTGAACTAAAACACTTAATTTCTTAAAATTGCTCTCAGCGTGAGTTTAAAGAAAAAAAAATGCACACTCCACAAGTGCCGCAGTCAAACCGTGCAATTCGTAATTCAAAAACATTAATATAGCAAACATGAACACAGCAAGCATACTGAGCAGACCTGAACATCATGAATGTCTCTTTCAACCTCGTTCGCTCCGTTTTCCTCAACTTGTTCGCACCTCTCTGGTACACCGTCAACCCGTCCTTCGTCAATCAGCTCGAAACCTTCATTCGAATCACAACTACCAGAGACGAAAGATGTCGAATTAGCTTTAATGTCAACCATCGAAACTGCGGAACATTCAGCATCAGAACTAGCCACAAAACTGATCATGCCTCCAGGTGGAATCTGAGACGAAATGCTGTGGCCCTCTTCCTTCTCACACTTTTCTTTTCCAACATCTTCTTTCACTGTACGTGCTGAGTTTTCCAACTCCGTCGAAATATTCTGAAGATCTTTCTTTTCGATCTCAAGTTTAAACGAAGATTCGTCTTCCGTGCTAGCAGATGTAACTTCATCAGCCTGACGAGCGCTGCATCGGTAAAACCCATCCTCTTTATTAAACTCTTTACTTGTAGATGCTGTATCACCATTTTCGTCAAGTTTCTAAAAAGCATAAAGACTAAATCAAAACTGATCTAGCGAGATATCACAATAATAAATGAAAAACATTCCATATTCTCCCAAACTAATGCAACAGAAAAACAAGTCCATTGTGATTTACCAGAGCTTGCAACTGAACAAAGTGACCCACAGACTCTCCTCCCTTTAAAGTTTGAAAAAGGAATATTTTATAAAAACAACAACTATGAGGACGTGCGCTTCTAAACAATTCTAGACAATTTTACTCAAAAGTTTTTCAACATGCATGGTGTCTAACTGTTAACGCTAAACTTTGCGCTGCAAAACAACCTAATTATACACCAGAAATATTGCAAGAAGCTCCAAAGCTTCAAAACGTTCACCAGTGTAAACAAAACACAACCACCTTATTTCACATCAAAAATCATAATTCATGCCTGAACAAGTCTAGCAATAATAAAATAATGATACGGTTTTTTAACAACTGAAGTTTATGAAAATTACTAAACACTAGAAAAAAGCAAAAAAAGAAGGGCAGGAAAGTAATGTGTAAGAACTTACACTATCAAAATTATCAGAACCAGTTTTTTCAACATTATCACGCTGGTTGCTTTCGTTTACTTCTTCCGCCTCACCACCGATTTTATCGGTATACAACGACTTTTCTTCTAGATCCTTATGGGCTTCCTAAATCAACGCTAACTGCAAAAAACAAAAACAAACAAAGAAGAAATAATAGCAGTAAAGCAAACACTCAAATAATTAAATAATTATTCTGTGGGATATTAAAGCAGAAAAGTATTAGTTACTGAAGTCCCAATATCAACATAAAGTATTATTATTATTATTTAGAAAAATGATAAAAAATAGAATGCTAAGAAACGTACTGGGAGTAATACTGATGTGACTCAAGTCTTCGTCGTGAGAATTTTTAAGACAGAGTAGCTAAAAAGCAACAAAGAAGTATATTTATAAAAAAAAAAATAACCTTGCACGAGTCTTCATCCTTCACTACGTTCTCAGTCACATCAGTTACGCATGATGATAATGTCTCACCAGCTTCCTTAGGTTTTTTAGCTGTACCGCCTAAACCACAGAAAATTAAAAGTATTACGAACAAAAAACGAGGAGGAAAAGTAATAGGTAGAGAAAACATACCAGTTTCATCACTTAATTTCCTTTTCCTGTCCGTATGCTTTTCAGTAACAGAACTTTCATGTGGGTCATCTGTCGCAGTGCACTTCAACTGATGCTCCCAAGTTACACCACTAAGCCCTTCAATAGCCGCTTCATCTTTCGCATCCTCTGACTCAGTTTTTAAGCCAGTAGTAACCTGGTCAATACCAGCAGAAATCTCATTCTTCTCTGCAGACTCAGTCTGACGATCCTGTTCACTTCCAATTGGTAAAAGACCTGCTGCCTTCAAAACTTCATCCTTTCTAGAAGCAGAGTCAGAGCTTAAACCATCCGCTTTTATTTCAGATTCTCGCATTTCCTCGTCAACGAAATCCATTTTTTCTGATTCTTCTCCCGATCCACAAGAGCCTTCTTCCCTTTTCACAACGTTGTCGACTTCACCGTGATCTTTATTCATTTCCAAATCTAAGTCTTCTCCAAAATCATTGCCATATTGAACTTCAGTCCCACTAAAGAATTTATCATCTTCATATTCGAATTCCTTCTTTGCAACTGCAACTTCTTCGCTCCTCGACGTTGTTTCAGCACCCATAAAATGCTCCAATCCCTCTGCTAAAGAAGTTTTTTTAACTTCTTGATCTTTCTTAGCAGTTTCTTCATCTTCTTGATGGTCACTTGAAAGCTCCTTAACTTCGTCAGCATCCGCCTGTTTATACTGCGTTTCCAATTTTTCCTTTACTCCCTCCTCACCATTTTCCTTTACGGCAACTACATCAGACATTATATGTTTATCCTCTTCCTCTGAAGAAACAACAATTTCATGCGAATCTTTCCTAGAGTTCTGTTTAGAGTCACTTGTCCTGCCATCATGCAAACATTCTCGAGCTTCCCCGAGAACTACTCGTTCCTCCTGAACCTTAGTTTCACCATCTGTGCTAAGTCTATCATTATTCTTTTTCATGCCTCCCATCTGCTGTTTATCTTCCGATAACTCCCTTGATGAAGCTGTCGTCTGTTCCTTCTCCAGCTCTTTATCTTGATTTTTCACCTCGTATACTTCGGTTCTACTCGGACCAACCTGGGAAGAGGTAGTCTCATCAAGAACATGGACTCTACCCTCCTTTTTTTCTTCTTCCTTCTTCTTCACTTCTTCAACCTCTTCGCGTAACTGCAAAACAGGTAAGTAGAATAGAAGCATAACCAAGAAAAACAGACAAAAACAAACAATAACCCCCTTGAAGCAACCGTACCTTCTGCTTCTGCTCCTTACGCAATTTTTTAGCCAATCTTCTTTCAAATTCGGCATTGGACGCAATCGCCTGCGATTTTTCTGCTACTTTTGGAGCTTTTTCCGCCGGCTTACTTTTGTCCGTTTTGAAAGTTTTCGAAAGCTGCTTCTTCGCAGGCTCAGGAAACATCGAAATTTGTGTAAGCGAAGACTTTTCCTAAATTTTTCAAAAAGATAAAATTTTAGCGCTGAGTTCGCAGAAATAGAGATAGTTGTTTTCACTTACAACTTTCGACCTTTTCCTTTCTACAGACTCGTCAGTACCATAGGAAACCTCCGAATCTCCTTTCCACTGCCTTTTCTTTTTCCCCTTATCCTTATCCGACTTCTTTTGAATTTTACCACTGCTCTTAATTTCTTCAACAGGCTTATCCCTTTCTATTTCTCTTTTCATCTTCTTGACCTTGGCCTTATCTTTTCCAGACTTCAGTCTTTCTTTTACCTTTTGGCGCTCTTTCTCATCCTTCTTCTCTTCTTCTTCTTTAATGCGATCTTTATCGTCTTTTATTTTGCACTTCTCTTCTTTTGTCCTCACTTTATCTTTTTGCTTCTCAGTGTCCTTCTTTAAGTCCCTTTCATTGCTGACTTCTTTCTTTTCATTTTCACTTGATAGTTTCCTTGAATCTTTTTTACTAGACTTGCTTTCAATAGAAGGGGCGAAAGATGCGGCAGAATGGCGAGTCGCGTCATCAGAAGATTCTTCATTATTGAAAACGTCTTCCATTGACAGCTTTGCACCACCCTTGAAAAAAAGTTGATGAACAATACACCACCAATTAAGTATTGCACAAAGGTAGCCGCTTATAAATAAGGTTCGTGATACCTTGCTCTTTTGATGAGCTTTTCTGTTCACTGGTTTCCGCTTCGGAGCCTCATCGCTTTCACTAGTTCCAGAGCTGCCTTGGGAGAAACCCTGAAGTAAAGAACAAGTAAACGAATAAGAAAAAAAATTTTAAGGAGAAAGACTGAAAACTGTTACTTCGTCCGTCCCGCTTTCTTCAGAAGAACCCTTTGGAGCAACCTTCGATCCCTCCTTTTTAGATGCTGTACTAAGTGACTTCATTTTAGAATCTTTACTACCGCTAGCCAAAGAGGAAGCGAATGAAGACATCGCGTCAGAATCATCGTCCTGCTGTATTTCACCTTCTTCCTCAGTTGAACTTTCTATTTGTACAGTACGCCTCTGCGGTTTCTGAAAGTACAAATAAGAAACAAAATTAAAAGGCAGATGTGCAACGGAATGGTACCAAACGGTCATTTAAAAGACCAAAACGTACCTGGTTATTTTTTTGCCTCTTCTTCTGTTGCAACATCTCAAGTGTTTTATGACGTTTTTCAGCATCATCAAATTTCATCGCTGACGACCGACGCTTCACGCGGTCGTACATTGACAGACCGATCAATCCAGTTTCAGCCTCATCATAAAGCCACTGTTGTCGCTGCGCCTCAGAACTCTTAAAAACATCAAACTGACTATCGAATTAAAGTTGCCGCTCACGGCAACGAAAACAAAGTGTTGAAACAAACTTCGTCAGTAACTTTTAAAAAAAAAAA